ATCCATCCCATTCTGGAATTTGTTGCCATGCCTGTCGTGTTTCCATCCCAGGATTTTTTTGCCTTTCCCTCATTTCTGTAGTGTCACTTTTCCCACCTTTTTTTCCCCTTTCTTCCCCCAATTTTTTTGGCTCACTATGAAATATTAACACTCCCACGGCTCCTTTGCAATCTCCAGCTCTGCCTGCAGGGATGGAGAATTGGGAGTTTAGGGTTTGGGGATGTGGAACTGGAGATTTAGGGTTTGGGGGATTTAGGGTTTGGAGATGGGGAATTGGGAATTTAGGGTTTGGGGAGCTGGGAGATTTGGGGATTTGGGATGGGGAATTGGGGTTTGGGATGGAGGATTGGAGATCTGAGGCTTTGGCACGGAGATTTGGGGATTTGAGCTGAAGAACTGGGGATTTGGGATGGAGAACTGGGGATTTGGGATGGAGAATTGGGGATTTGGGATGGAGAACTGGGGATTTGGGATGGAGAACTGGGGATTTGGGATGGAGAATTTTCCAGAAGGGAGCTGGGGGAAGCAGATGCCCTGTGGTGCTGGGCACAAACTGCTCCCAATCCTGCTGATTTCTCCCATTTTTCCCATTTTTCCCCTTCCAGATCAGACAAAACCCTCCAGGACATCGTGTACAAGCTGGTCCCGGGGCTTTTCAAAGGTGCAGCCAAGGATGGGGAGAATTTGGGAATAATTTGGGAATTTGGGAATTGTTTGTAAGTCGCTGCCATCCCCCTGAAGCCCTTCCCGGGATTTCCCATTCCCACGGGGACAGGAGGACACAGGGACATGGGGCCCATCCCAAACTTTGGGAGGATCTGGGAGCAGGAGCCGTGGATGGGGCAAGGGCGGGATTTGGGGTGTGGGAATCCCAAATCCTCGGGATTTATGGGATCGTTCCTGCTGGAGCTCCCACGGGAATTCCCTGGGAATTGTGGGGTGTCCCCCTGTGCCCCCTTGCTGTCACTCCCCTGGCTGTGGCGCTGTCCCCACTCACATCCCTGTCTCTGTCCCCATCCCTGTTCGTGTCCCTGTCCCTTTCCCTGTCCCCGTCCATGCCCCTGTTCCCATTCTTGTCCCCATCCCTGTCCCCATCCCTGTCCCTGTGTCCCCATCCTGGTCCCTGTCCCTGTGTCCCGGTCCCTGTCCCTGTCCCTCTGTCCCTGTCCCTCTGTCCCTGTGTCCCTGTCCCTCTGTCCCTGTGTCCATGTCCCTGTCCCTGTGTCCCCATCCCCGTCCCTGCCCCTGTGTCCCTGTCCCTGTCCCTGTTCCCATTCTTGTCCCCATCCCTGTCCCCATCCCTGTGTCCCTGTCCCTGTGTCCCTGTCCCTGTGTCCCTGTCCCTGTCCCTGTCCCTGTCCGTGTCCCCACAGATGAGATGAAGAGAAGACGCGACTTCTACTCTGCGTACCCGGTGGCTGAGGGTGAGTGTGACAGTGTCACAGTGTCACCATATCACAGTGTCACAGTGTCACCATATCACAGTGTCACAGTGTGACAGTGTCACAGTGTCACCATATCACAGTGTCACAGTGTCACAGTGTCACCATATCACAGTGTCACAGTGTCACAAGGTCACAGTGTCACATGTCACAGTGTCACAAGGTCACAGTGTCACATGTCACAGTGTCAGTGTCAATGTCACCATGTTGCAGGGTCACAGTGTCACAGGGAGGGTGTCAATGTCACAGGGTCACAGGGTCACAGTGCCAGTGTCAGTGTCACAGTGTCANAATGTCACCATGTTGCAGGGTCACAGTGTCACAGGGAGGGTGTCAATGTCACAGGGTCACAGGGTCACAGTGCCAGTGTCAGTGTCACAGTGTCAGTGTCAATGTCACAGTGTCACAGTGTCACAATGTCACCGTGTCACAGTGTCAGTGTCAATGACACAATGTCACAGTGTCAGTGTCACAGTGTCAGTGTCACAGTGTCACAGTGACACAGTGTCGCAGTGTCAGTGTCAATGTCACAATGTCACAGTGTCACAGTCAGTGTCACAGTGTCACAGTGTCAGTGTCACAGTGTCACAGTGTCACAGTGTCACAGTGTCACAGTGTCACAGTGTCACAGTCAGTGTCACAATGTCACAGTGTCACAGTGTCACAGTGTCACAGTGTCACAGTGTCGGTGTCACTGTCACCATGTCACGGTGTCCCAGCCGGGGCCATCCCCCGCTGTCCCCCCAGCCGTGTCCCTGTCCCCGCAGTGCCCCTGGGCTCGCAGGAGGAGCGTGGGGAGGTGGCCGAGCGGGACCAGGGCGCGGTGCCCGAGGACGACATCGTCAGCCTGTCCATCGAGTTCCACCGGGACCCCAGGTACGGCCCGGGGCCCCGGGAATGGGCTGGGACCCCGGGTATGAACCGGGACCCCAAATATGGGCTGGGACCCCGGGTATGGACCGGGACCCCGGGTATGGGCTGGGACCCCAAATATGGGCTGGGACCCCAAATATGGGCTGGACTGGGACCCCAGGTACGGCCCGGGGCCCCGGGAATGCCCATGGCTGTGCAGGGTGAAGCCCTGGATGTCCCCCCAGTGTCCCCCCCCATGGGGCCTTTCCGGGGATTTTTCCCTCCCCACCTTTCCCACGATCCCTGTCCCGTGTCCCTCCCCAGCGAGGAGCAGAAAGGAGCCGTGGAGAACGGGGACCTGGACAAGGACAAGGTGAGAGTGTGGTGGCACCGGGGTGGCACCGGGGTGGCACTGGGGTGGCACTGTGCTGGGTCTAGGGTGACACCGTGCTGGTGCTGAGCCCTCGGTGCCCAGCTGCCCTGGGGGGACAGGGGGACAACCCAAACCTGGGACCCCCCAAACCCGGGACATCCCAAATCCCGGACCCCCAAACCTGGGACCCCACAAACCCCAGACACCCCAAACCCGGGACACCCCAAACCCGAGACACCCCAAACCCAGGACAAGCAGCAGGTGGGACCCCCCTCCCAAACCCGGGACACCCCAAACTTGGGACCCCACAAACCCAGGACTCCCCAAACCCTGCACACCCCAAACCCAGGACAACCAGCAGGCAGGACACTCCAAACCCAGGACACCTCAAACCCTGCACACCCCAACCCCAGAACCCCTGCACCCCAGGACACCCCAAACCCAGGACACCCCAAACCTGGGACATTCCAAACCCTGAACACCCCAAACCCAGGACACCCCAA